AAGCCCAGGACCACCCCACCACCTGGCCTGCCCCATGTATGTGACAAGAAAGGCAGTGCCTCCACCAGTCAGTAGACATAGGGATGTTGCCCCCTGGCCACGAGGTGAGCTCCGGGCTCACTCCTGGCCCCTCTGTGCCCCACTCTAGCCCCTTTCCCACATGGTATCCAAGGGCCCCAGCCAGAACATCTGCCCATCAGTAAACAGGCTTGGGGCAAAGCCAGAGGTGTCCATGGCAGCTGGAGAGGAGCTACCATCTTAAGTTGGCACAAGGTAGGTTCACGGGTCACAGGTCATGGCCCTTGCTGTCCTTCGTCATGCTCAGCCCACACCTTGGTATAGCACAGGGATACTGCCCAGCCTGCAGCCCTGGTTTTGTAGGCAGGGTTGTGAGGCTCTGAGAAGTGCTGTTTCCAAGTGAGTGGGTGGGCAGAGCCCACTGCGGTGCCAGAGGTGGCGGCCCCACAAGGCATTTTGGAAGGGGTGGGAGTACCTCTCGGTAAGATTCAAGTAAATAGTTCAGCAAGTGAAAGGGCTTGTCCGGACAAATGAAGGGTTTCCATGATGGGCCCTCCTATCTCCTCAGCACAGAACACCAGCTCTGTGTTGGCTTTGCCTCCTGGCCAACACAGGGATGGTGGCCCATGGGCTGAGGAGGATGTTCTCATGGAAAGGTCTATACCCCAAAGGCCCCATACAACAGCCCCAGTCCACAGCAGACAGCAAATTCAATGCCAGCTTTCCAGCTGGCCCTGGACAGTGTGTCCCTCCTAAGAACACTGGCCCAAGGGGCCTTTGCACAGAGAGGGCTAAGGATGGAACCCACCCAGGCCTGCAGCTGTCCCTACATGTGTCCTTCCTACCTAGGACAAGGCAGACCTCCAGGTACCTCTGGGCATGGCTGAGGCCTAGTCCTGGACAGATGCCTGGGGCAGGCGGGGGGCGTAAGGACAGGCCAGAGTCACCGCTCCCTCCTTCCTCCCAATGGCCTGCAGGTGCCTGTGGCCACTCTCAGCCTAGTCTGTCCACAAGGCAAGGTGAGAGTTGGGGGCACTGGGTCCCTCCCCTGCCCTCAGTGACCAGGCTTCACTCCACACTGTGGAGTTTGGCTCCCTGGCCCTCCCCTGCCCTCAGTGACCAGGCTTCACTCCACACTGTGGAGTTTGGCTCCCTGGTCTTCTGCTTGCCCTGGCTCCTTTCCCATTGCAAGAGTCCTGTGAGGACCCAACAGAAATGCATCGTGTGTCTGGTAGGGAGCCTGCCCCGCAGCCGTGGAGAAGAGCTCCTGCTCCTCATCCTTGTCTTCACTTCTCCTCTCTCCCCTCCCTGAACTTCCTGTGGTTGCCCTGGTACTAGTCGTGACCCTTTGTTGTGTACATGCACGTGGAGTTGGAGGTGATAATTATTCCTATACTGAAGTTCAGAAGCGAAGCAGCCTTCACACTGGGAGCTGCTAAAACTCACCCTGGGAGAGCCTGGATAGCTCTGGGCCTTGGGGATTTCACCCACCAGGAAGCAATTGTGCCAGCCACAAAGAGAGCCCAGGGGCAGGAGCTCCTTACCCTGCCCCAGGTGTCTCTGAGGGTGCCCAGGAGCCTGGTTGCATCTGCTGCAGTTTTGGTATTCCTGGGAGCTCGGGGTTGTTTTCCCAAGTTAGAGGGAGCAGGCAAGATGCCGCAGGGAGAATGTCCTTAACCTATGGAGCCTCCTGGGGGTCCTGAGTGCCAGTTCCTTGGTGCCTGACAAAACCCAAGTGCTCTGGTTTTCAACTCCCACCATGGCTAGCCCACTGCAAGCAGATCACTTCCTCATGGGCACTTGCCAGGCTTGTCCACCTGCTTCTTTGTCCAGCCCAGATTCCAGGCAGACCCTGGCCCATATGTGGGCTCTATGCTTTACACCTATATTCCCTGATGCCCCCTCTGGCTACAGCAACCGACCTCCCAGCAGTGGCTTTTGTGGTCCCTGCCTGTGGAAGACCAAAGAGCAGCAGCAGGACAGCTCAAACAAGCACAGGAAGGGATGGCCTCACCAACGGCCGGCATTGCTTCCCGGGCTGAGCACATTCACAAAAATAGGAATCAGCTCCTCAGAGCAGTGCTGGGCTCTTGACATCAGCCCCATATTTTACTGGGGAGGAAGAAACTGAGGCTCACAGAGAAGTGATGAGCGCAGACCCACAGATAACAAGTGACTGGGCCAGTTCCAGCCCAGATCCACCCACACCAAAGCTTGTGCTGTTCTCAAAGCTTCAGCCCCGAGAAAAGAGAATGCTCCCAGACCCTGATTTGCTGAGCCCTAGCTCTGTGCCTGGTATAACACCTGTCGTGAGCTCCCTGCTAGAGGTGGAGAGCTAACCCGTGGACAAGCGCAGTGTGACCATCCACACAGGCCACACTGCACTGGCTTGTTCCCTGAGCTGCATGGCTGTACTTGAGGGTCATCTCTGTGGGAGGGCTCCAGCCACTGTCTAAATATTTATAGAGAACATGACAGACACAAGCAACCACATGCACCCACATGGTGGCTGACCCAACACAGCACTGTCCACTCTAAAAACACATGTGAAAATGCACATAAAGGTACATGCTGTCCTATACACACATGACGCTCCATGTACATACATGGGGGGGGGCACAGTTTCCCTCCCCCTGCTCTTGTGATGATTTAGTGAAGCGAGAACCACAGAACTACAAGCCTGTGGAGCCAGGGGTGTCCTCAGGGATGAGGTTGGGGTCTAGGGATGACAGGATGTGGATTGCCTACTCTCTTGCTCTAGGAAGTCGGTGTCCACCCCAGTCATGTGGAGTCATGGGTCTCAACCAGCAAGCGGATATTAGGGGCCTCAACCCCAGCAGGGGATGCAGAGCTGTCCCTTCGCTAATGCCCACTGGGTAAGCCAGGCCATACACCCAAGTTCCTGCCTCAGTTTCCATGCTTGGCAGTCTCACTCCCTGGCCCAGTCCTAAACCTATGCCCAGTACTCAGTTAGTTGAGACCTTAACACCCTAAACAATCCCCTCAAAGCCCCCAGCCTAGGGGATTCTGACTTCTGCCTCTAACATAGCCAGCCACTGGGCAGGGCTCCAGAACACGTCACTGCCATCCTCTGCTTCAGCCTGGTACTTCTCCACCATGGGGACTTCAATCCAAACCATGCCTGGGCTCCTCCCATGCCACTATGGTCTATAGAATGGATGCCCCAGGATGTACCATGTGGGGCCACCTAGTGATGACAAATCTCCAGTGCCCCTGGTGAGGTATCCACTGGTGGCTGCTGGTTGTGGACAGGTGTGGGGGTGCTGGAGGCATGGAGGCCAAGCAGCCGGTGGGCAGAGGTAAGAAGAAAGCACAGGGCTGGCGGGTTAGCTCAGTTGGCTAGAGAGCAGCCTTACAATATCAAAGTCACAGATTCGGATCCCTGAAACTGGCCCACCACCAGGAAAAAAAAAAAAAAGAGAGAGAGAGAGAGAGAAAGCACAGAGTGACCAACAGAAAACAAAAGCTTCCAGGAAGCCATGGCCACAAGAGCTGGAGGCTGAGAAGGCAGATCTTGCAAGTGCTGAGGCCCTTCCCCAATGCAGACAGCAGCCTGAGGGCAGGCAGCTAAAGGCTCTGGCTGTCAAGCGGCATAGATAGCAGCCACCAAGCAGCCTCAGGAGAAGAGCATGAGGCTCTCCTGCCCACCCTGGCTCCATGGCTCTAGGCTGATGTCAGCCCAGAGGGAGACCACGGTGTATCCCCACCACACACTTGGGGAGATGGGGTCCTGCACTCTACGTTACAATCCCTGGAAAGGTGAGTGTTTTCTAGCTGTATTCACAATGGCAGCAGGAGTTGATATTAAAGCCCTCTTGGAGGTGGAAGGGTGGAAGTTACTAACTGAAGCCACTACTGAAGACGCCGTGGGTCTGGGACACCACCTCCTGAGCCCATCCCCTGAAGGCCTCTGGATGGCTTGTTTTGCATCTGCTCATGAACATTCCTGATGCACTAGGCATCAATGCTGCTGCCTCTATTTTCTGTAGTCTCCTGCCAAGATTCAGCCTCAAGCTTTCTGGTGGGTAAAAAGGTTCATGACCCTGAAAATCCACCCTAGTCAGGTACTCCCATCCTAAACTGGGGAGAGCCCCTCAATCAAATGCACCGTGTTGGCTGCTTTCTCCTGACAAGGGCCAGCTTGACTGCTCCCCTTCCTGCCCTCCTCCAGCTTCCACAAGCTGCCTTCAAGGGCAGCAGGGGGTTCTATGAAGAGAAGGGAAGGCCCCAACTCTGCAACCCCAGTTAGGGTGTCCCCGGTACACTGGTTCCACAGCGGCCGCATCTGATTTTGCCCCATCTACCAGGATATCCACCAGTAACGGCCTAGAAGCCAAAGAGCACAGGGAAGGCCCATGGGCTCTGTATGTCACAGCAGCGTAAATCCTTAAAGATGGCGGTCTAGATGAGATAAGGGGCTCCTGATGCAACAGAGAGTCCAGGGGCCAGCACAGGCCATCCATCCTTGGCTCTCTGGCCAGGTGCTCAGAGAATGTGTTATTATTCTGTCATATTATTCTGTCATTTGTCTCCCCACACCAGAAAGAAAGCTCCCATGGACAGTGAAGTGGCACCTTCACTGTTGCAGTCTCTGGAGCACTGAAGGCACCTGGCAACCATGAATGAACAAACGGAGGCATGAGAGTCCCAGGGCCAGGAGTCTATCTATGCCTCCCTGGAGTTGGGTCAGTTGGCCTGGGTGGGGCTGGGGTGTTGCACCTGGACCCTGAGGTGGGTGCCCTGGGCCAGATACATGGGAGATGTGCCTCAGACTGGAAGATGCTGTCCTTGCACAGATGGCAACAGCAGGCCTGGAACAGACACCAGATATACCTGCTACACAGGAGGCTGCCACACAGGGTGAGTGGGTAAAGGTGAAAGGTCCCCATCTGTAGCATTTGCTGATTTTTGTAGTGTAAATACTCCCACCACACAGATTCTAAGCAGTGAGCAGCTCTTACCCACAGAGGTAGTCCAGGGCCAGCTCTGCTCCCGAGCGCCTGGCGGGTGGGCTCTGGGCCTCAGCAACACCCACTTCCTGCAGACGCTTCTTCTCTTCTTTCTTTCGCTCCTTCTTCAGCTTCCTTTCCAGGACCCTCTTCTCCTCTGGGGACAGCTTGGGGTCCATGTCCTGTAACACCCTGCATGCTGCTCCTCCCTGAAAATCAAGGAACAACCTCCTGTTAGGCTTTCAGGGATGGACAGGGGTATCCAAAGAAGGGCACACTGTTCAGGGCTTCCCAGCCCCTCCCTCACCCACAGCCCAGCAGAAAGCTCCGTTCCCTAAGGACGTGGCTTGGCCCCCTATAGGTGACATTTCATTGAGATCTGCTACAATGAAGGAAACTGGTCAAGTAAGGACAGCGATAATTCCTGGAGGAAGAGCGATGTTCAACTTTGCTCAACTGACATGTGTCAAAGGTAACTGACTGCAGCCCACCCATCCCCCTGTCCCCATCCTCCCAGGGCTCTGTGAAGGCCCTGGTTGTCCCACTGCAGAGGAGAAGCTGAGGCTGGCTCATCAGGGAGGGATGGAAGCTGAGGGACTTCATACTCAGTCTTCCTTCAGCCAGTGCTGGTTGAACCCCTTCTGGACATGCACGCCACCAGAAGGCAGCCATCCCAGCACAGCGCCCGGGTGCCACCTGCTCCCATTTCTGTTGAGTCATTCTCTGCCCGGCTCCCTTCGCACTGAAGGCTGAGGTGGGGAGAGCCCAGGACATGCTGGTGGCTGTTCCTTCTCCTTGCTCCTAAGGAGTCCTCTCAGTGAAGACCCCAAGGGAGGAAAATGGCCCGCTTTCACTGGGATCTTGCCTCATGATGCAGTGTTCTCCCCAGCCACATCTTGCCAAGAAAGCACATCCCCTCCCTCCTCCTCACCTCTCCCCAAACTAACAAACAAAAAGGAAAATGGTAGAGTGCCAAATGGCAGTGGGCCATCCTGGTCAAGCAGAGAGAGAGGGGGCTGCAGAGGTGACTTCAGCTGCTGTCCACATACTTCATCTTTCCTGGAAAAAGCCAGAACACCAGTGTTTACTCTGATCCAGGCCAAGAGCCTGCAAGGGAACAGTGTGTGTGTGGGGATCAGGAACCTAGCCACTGCCCTACCCCAGAGCGCTTCCAGGCAGGGGGAGCCCCGCTAGCCATCCCTACCTGTGCATTCCCCCACTCCCAGGGAAAACAAAACAAGGAGCTCCCTCCTCCCCAGAAGGTCCCCTCATAAAATGCCAATCCCCTGGATAATCTGTGTTGCCACTCAACACAGAGCCCGGCAGGCTCCTTCCTAAATCTCCTAAAAAAAAAAAGAGTGTCTCTCTCCAGCCCTACCCCCCTTTAAAACAGAGCTGGGATTTACAGCAGTGGAAAGTGTCAGGGCTTCACAGGGCTATTCCTAGCACCCTCATCACAAAGTGAGGGCCGCTGACACAAAATAAAGATGCCGACCTCCTGCTTCAAGCAGGGCTTGCCCACAGGCCGCCGCCCTCAGGAGGTGCTCCCAAGGACGCCACAGGGAGGAGGCTCAACCCTCCTGTGCAAGTGCCCTGCACTGGACAGACAGAGTGCCGGCAGGAAGGCCCGCACAGCCCACAGACCAGTAGGAAGGCTCCATAACTGCGAAGCGAGGCCTGAGGGAGGGTTTGGTTATTTCTACATTGGGTTTGCTGAGGTGGAAGGAGAGAGGAGTTTGATAATGAGGATGATGTGGACACCCACAGGGGAGTCTGGCCTTTGCCCAGCTACCAGCTCTGGCCGGCTCTGTGCCCACTTCCTAGGCCTGTGGCTGGCTGACCAAGTGGCGCCACCAAAAATCTGGCACAGAAAGGAAACAAACAACCCTCCCCAGCACAGTCCTGGCCCCTGCCCCCTGCGGGCCACACAGGCTGCATCCACCACCTGGGCCAAAGTCCAGCTGAACTGTCAGGGCTGCTGAAGGGCTGGAGTGGTGGGCTTGTAGGTCTGTCCACATTGATCTTGAGGGAGGCTGGCAGTCTGTGGGCGGTCTGAGGAGTGGCAGGGAGGAGTGGGAAGCATCTGCTGCCCTCCCACCACCAGGGGCACTGGCACGACTTTTCAGCAATCCCTCAACTGTGGTCAGGACACAGCTTCGTCCTTAAGGACAGCACCTTCTACACACAGTACCTGGCCCTGACCTGAGGGGGAGTTCTGACCACTCCCTGAGGACTCTCAGGGCCTCTGCAGGCCCAGCACTCCCTCCAGGAAGGAAGCCCACATTTACTGGGCATCTGAACAATCCATGAGGTCAGTGGGCATAGTCCCCACAGCAGAGCCACAGGAAAGAGGCTAGAGAGGGTGAGGACAAGGCCAAGGCTGTGGGGCAGCAGCAGGAAGCGTTGACCTGGGATGGAAGGGGAGGGGGACCCAGGTGGCGCCAGACAGGAAAGGTCCATCTAAAGGGTAAAGGGGCCTGCAGGGTGCAGCCATTTCTCCCAGAGTTTCTTGAAATTCCAGCATGAAGGGTATGTCTTGCATCATGCACATAAACCTGAAACTACAAAAAAACCTTTAAAACCATTTTCACTTTGGGCTGCAGCACCCCTGACATGGGCAGTGGTCAGAGCCCAAGTTCTATACCCCTGAGGAAGCCAAGTGTATCTCGGACAGAGCCGTTTCCTCAGAGAACCAGGAGGCCACTTGGCTATGCCAGAGACCAGGTGGCTCACATGAAGCCTGTGGCCACTAGGGATTCTAACGGGTATGAATCGGAGCACTGATGCCCTGGACATGGGCCCCAGATAGGCTTTTCAAAAGAAGCTAGAAACTGAGATTTATAGGTGGAATCTTCTGAATTTTAAATGCTGGCAATTCTAATTAAACAGTGCATGTTACTTGGCACCAAACTATATGAACTGGGTGATGAAGCCAGCATGGGTTGAGATCTCTGACCTCTGGGCCAGAGAAGACAGACACCTCACCTCTGCAGCTACACAGGTCCTAGGGTGGTTGGCCTGCTAAACAGTCTTCCTGCTGCACCCAGGCTCGGCCAGGCCTGCAGGCTGTCCACCTCTGCCTCCTTCCCATAGCCACAGCCCCTCCTGGTCCTTGTCTGAGGAAAGCAACTAAAGCCCCACTTCACACCTGCTCAGAGCTCCTGTCCTGCCAGTGTCACCAAGGGCAAAGGACAGTGACAGTCCATTGCCCTCAACTGTGGTCTTTGGACAAATTCCATGGGCACCCCATTGAAAGGTCAGGGCTGCCATTCTGAGTAGGTCACCAGGGTCTGAACTCCCCAGGTTGCACAGGGAATTCAAATCTTTCCATCCCAAAGGAGCTTTCCCTGGTCTGTTCCTCTCGTCCACTACTGAGGCCCCAACTCACGGCCAAGGGATCATGTGGAAGCACTGGCAGGGACAACGTCCACCAGCAGCATTTAGGGCTGACTGGCGCCGGACCTTGTGCTGAGCGTGCCCTAGACGGATGGGTTCTAGATGCCCCAGGTTCTAGATGCAGCATCGCAGAGGGAAAATGCCACCACTTTTGGGCACCATGTGGTGAGAAGCTCCTCAAGAAATGTGTGGACTGGTCAGGGCCAGGTCCCACTTCAGATCAAATGACCTGGGAGCCCACCCAGCACCTTGAGGTCAAGGTGAAGATGACTGCTGACCTCCCTACAGGCTGGGCAGACTCTAAGATGCCTGTCCATTGGGATAGTCTCAGGGGGTGGGGGTGGGAAGCTGCTGCTTTGCCCTCGTCTATCCTCTCCCCCGACCCCCCGCCAATGTGAAAATGTTGAGCTGCTGTTGAGGTGGACTTGACATTGGTCAGTGTCTTTAACTTTTCCTGAGTTAGTGACCATATGAACTCAAGAGATAATTTCAGAAAAAACAAAATCTGTGCTTCCTGTCTTGGCCTCGTCAGAAGAAACAGAAACAGGTCTCAGTTAGGGAGCACTACCCTGGGGCAGCTGCTGGCCTTCGGGTGGCTGGGCTCTGCCCATGGTGGAATCCACTAGCTCCACTGGCCTTGCCAGGTCTCCTTGTGTTTGAGCTTGGTGCTCTGGGTGCCCTGATGTTTCTAGCCTGGACCAGTGATCCCCCCATTACTGTGACTATGATGTGAGTGACCTCACATATTTTGGGGTGACAACAGGTAAGCTCTGTGAGGGTGTCAGGCTGGGCAAGCACAGGCGTGTCTGGGAGCAGAAGGTGGTGTGTGAGGAGGGGCAGGGGGCTACCAAGCTCAGACATGGTATGTCTGAGGCCCCGCTGCTTCTTCCACTGTGTGTGGCTTTGGCCTGTACCGTTGGAGGACTGTGGGAACAGCATGGGGGTGCAAAACAGGCCAGCATAGAGCATTTCATACAGTTTTCCTTCAGATTGAGAACAACTTTCTCCAGTTGCCACTGAGCTGATAACCCTCCAAAGAATGAGGATTTAATAAGCAAATAATAAAATACTTGCCACTCTCACATACACCTCTGAAGTTATTTCATTTAAAAGCTGTACAAAAGGCTAGCTGGTTAGCTCAGTTGGTTAGAGCACAGTGCCATTAATACCAAGGTCGAGGGTTCCATCAATCCTTGCACTGGACAGCCACCAAAAAAAAAAAAAAAAAAAGTTGCTCAAGGGCTTGCAAATAGCCTGTGTAAACACCAAAACACCATAAAAATTTAAAAGGAATGTAAGAATCGAATAAAAGCCTGGAGGGCCCCTCCTGGGAAGGGTGGGGTCTAAGAATGCAAAGCCAAGCCACTGTTCTGTGGCTGGAGAAGTCTCCAGGCCTCCTGTGTGCTCCAGGAGTTGGGAAGGGAGGGAGCCCCTCTAGACCCAGTGTCCACCCACAGACCCCTACAGGATCCAAGGTAGTGGTAGGGGTGGCAGCTTTGAACTGAAGCCATCCCAGCAAGATTATCTGCTCTGAACCTCACTGCTTTCCAAACACAGATGAAATGCTTATCAAAAACACATGTGGTCTATAGCTAGCCAAAATTTGGGCAGGACACACACCCAAACTGATAAACTGCAGGCCCCCTTGAGGAGCGTGTATGGAACAGTGACCACTGGACATTTAATTTCTTTCTTTCTTTTTTTTTTTTAAAAGATGACTGGTAAGGGCCAGCCTGTGGCTCACTCAGGAGAGTACGGTGCTGATAACACCAAGGCCACGGGTTCAGATACCATATAGGGATGGCCGGTTTGCGATGCTTATCAAAAACACATGTGGTCTATAGCTAGCCAAAATTTGGGCAGGACACGCACCCAAACTGATAAACTGCAGGCCCCCTTGAGGAGCGTGTATGGAACAGTGACCACTGGACATTTAATTTCTTTCTTTCTTTTTTTTTTTTTAAAAGATGACTGGTAAGGGCCAGCCTGTGGCTCACTCAGGACAGTACGGTGCTGATAACACCAAGGCCACGGGTTCAGATACCATATAGGGATGGCCGGTTTGCTCACTGGGTGAGCGTGGTGCTGACAACACCAAGTCAATGGTTAAGATCCCCTTACCAGAAAGATGAAGTCAAACTGTCCCTGTTTGCAGATGACATGATCCTATATATCGAACAGCCTAAAGCCTCTACAAAAAAACTCTTGGAGTTGATAAATGATTTCAGCAAAGTTGCAGGATACAAAATCAACACAAAAAAAATCAGTAGCATTTCTATTCTCCAATAGTGAACATGCAGAAAGAGAAATCAAGAAAGCTTGCCCATTTACAATAGCCACTAAAAAAATAAAATACTTAGGAATTGAGTTAACCAAGGATGTGAAAATTCTATATAATGAGAACTACAAACCACTGCTGAGAGAAATTAGAGAGGATACAAGAAGATGGAAAGATAACCCATGCTCTTGGATTGGAAGAATCAACATAGTGAAAATGTCCATACTACTGAAAGTGATATACAAATTCAATGCAATCCCCATCAAAATTCCAATGACATTTTCCTCAGAAATGGAAAGAACTATCCAGACATTTATATGGAATAACAAAAGACCACGCATAGTCAAAGCAACGCTGAGCAAAAAAAATAAAGCTGGAGGCATAACAAAAA